GCTATTAACATATAAGGCATCAAATGCCCTAAGAAAAAGCCCATAACCTTTTACAATATCAAATGACACATAATCAACATTAAATTATATTTCTTGTTTGGCAAGAAAAGTAAAATTGAAAGCAAAACAAAAACCACAAAGTAAAAACTCTCAGTATAGTATGTAACAACAGCCTATCTTTGCTTTCCTGTGGAATGTGTTCGGAGCCTGACTGAGAAGTGTGAAGGTGGTGGTGGGAACATTAGACTGGCTGTTCTGGAAACACAGAGAATGACTAAAACTTGGATCAAGGGAAAATACTGTCTGCTGGCAATATTTCCCCCAAATAAAATAATAATTCATGGTAAAATAATGTCTAAATATGCCATGCTCTATGAGCCTGCAATTGCGAGGTTAAGAAAATAAGTCGAATGTTTGTGGGATGCTGAACAACCAAAACAGGTCTGTATAATGATGACAGCTCATTCTGAGGTTGATTCTTCACTCATGACCCATGAAAAACGTCTCTTGTTCTAAAAGCCAACATTAAGGCATGCCAAATTTCCTATAAAAAAATTATTCGAACAACAGCTTTGGATATTACAGTTCTATAGCTCTAAAATATTCTCCTAAGACATACATAGGCTTGAGTGTACCTAAACTTGCACATTAACAAACATAAACCATGGGATACTCTTAAGTGTAAGCCACGGATTTTTAAAAAATCATTTTTACGTATTTAAAATAACATATTACTTTTTACAGTGTCAGTGCACAAGTCAGGCAAATTATTTCCCAAAGCTTATGCCCATAAAAGTTAGGAGAGAATATTATAGAGGTCTATGAACCATAAAATGATATAGCTGAAAATCAGTTGAAGGATGATGTATTAATTCTTATGAACCATTTTATACTGGGAAAAGCCATTATATTTCTTCTCATTATAGTCATTCTTTACATCTAGTCAAGGTTAAACCCCATCCCAGAGAACTGTAAGAATCTGTCTTTTTCCTTTTTTACAGTATAATCTAGTTAGTAATACTAAATCTTGCTGAATAGGTGACCCATTGGTGAAGGTTGTGAATCTCTTTTGTCAGACCATATTTTTGTGGTAGCAGTAATTGCTACAAGGGAATCTGACCTTCAAACTGAAAAACCTTCTCCCAAGAGATATAGAAAAAATTTTTTCTTTAACTTTAAATGATTAATCCAGGTAAGGTTTTGCATGTGCTTGTCACATGTGAAAGATGATGGTTGAAATGTTCAAGTCCTCTTTCTAAAATGTTTACCTGTCACAGAGAAGTAACAAAATGTAGAATCACTTAGGTTCAGACCCTTAATTCCTGATATTCAACTGGCATAATGCTCACTCCCTCATTTATTCTTAGGCGCAGAGGCAAATGTAAGGCACAAATGAATTTGGAAGGGCGATCTCTTTGTCTAAATTTGCACCTTGAAGGACTTGTTCCAGCACTGGTCCAACTCTGTCCCTAAAACAAATAAGTATGAGCGGGATGGACTCAGATATTGTAAGCAGAGAGCAAAGCATGTGACACCGATATCAAGGCAGCATCTAGGTAGTACAGAATCGAGGGGCACAGCAGTCCTGGGTAAAACCCCCCCAGTCTGTACTCCTCTAACTGTCAGTCAGCTGTGAAATGGGGAGCCTGGAGAAAAGACGATCTTCTCATGAGGGGGGCAGTACATTGCGGTACACCTTCTGCTTCAGGAGCTGCAAATGGCTGGAAAGGACATGACATCACAGAGAAAACACGTAGGTGCCCTAAGAAGGAACAGTTTATTAAAGCCATTAAGAGGATTAAACTGTCCTTCAGCAGGGGTAGAAATTGAGAAAGAAGGCTTTCTTTCTGGTACTCACTCCTTCGGGCTGCATTGTTGAACAATGAGCTGCCTTCTTTTAAGATTAGGAAGGTGACTCTGAGTTTAGTTTTCTAAAACCTGATACATAAGTTAAAGACCTAACCTACATTTGAAAAAAGTTTTGTTTTTCCAGGTCTAGCAATAAAAACTCTCATAGATAACAACCAGCACCATGTTGAAGAGAGAGGTGTAAGGTCATAAATCTCCATGAAGGTTTCAAGATCAACACCACAACTATGATCTGCTCAGTGTCTATAACAGTTATCACCTGATCTTGCCAAAGTACTTCTAAATAACTATTTAGAGCCCCAGAAAACCCTCTTCATGAGATTGTAAACAACATGTCTAAATTTCAGGGTTTTTAGTTTCCTGTGTTACCATCACTTTAAATTCAAGTAATCTTCATCCTGAATTCAGGCACCAGCAGGATAGTCTAAGCTACACAACTCAATGCCTATGGAAAAGCTGATTAAGGCAGTTATCTGATTATGCCAACACAGCACTAAAGGAGACATCCAGATGATTTTCTGAATTGGGTCCTTTTGGCATATTGGTCTGCTCTCCTATGATTTAGAACCATTAAAAAGGGCCCTAAAAATGAATAGATTTGAATAATGTTGAAGTGAACATTTACTCACTACATTTCAATTTAAAATTTTTTTAAAGAAATATATTCTGACTTGTTAAATCGTTTTGCTTCTGAATATTTTCTTGTCCTACACACGCACACGCACGTGCACACACGTCTCCTAGAGAGCACATCAGAACTATTTATCATTTGGTAGCACTCCAAGATTTATTAAATGCTTCCAAATAAAAAGCTCAAAACCTTTAGTGTTTTTCTTAATTATCAGTTTTACAGCATTGAAAAAATTTCCTGTTACTTGATTCTTCAATTTGTTTGAAAATCAACTGAAAATCAGGCCACACGATTAATTCAATTTAGTCTGTGATTTGGCTAATTTAATCTTTGTTCATCAATAAATAAAAACAAAACTCAGCTGATCCCACTTAGCTTCATATTTTTAAAATGTATTTAAAACAAAAACAAAGAGCTCAGACCTACTCTCTCAGCCAAGCAGTGGCTAGTACCTTGACTGCCTCATCCAAGGAGGGCCCTCAAGCAGGCTAGAACCTGACAGCTTACAGACCTTCAGAACACGAAACATATACTGCGGGTAAACTGGCCTCAACACAAACCACACTGTGACATTCACAGTAAAACAAAAAGTTTGTTCAAAAAGCACAAGGAACCAGCAATAGAAAACAGGATTCATGTGTATATTGTCCCAATTCTTTCTGAAATAATAGTCTGTTCTATAGAATAAGTGATCTCTCTCTAGCTTCCTCTGATGTCCTTATATTTCTCGTTTTTACCTAATAGTCTTTTCATATACCCATTCTGTCTATTTTTACTATTCTCTGACCTCCCCTTTCTTATATCCCCTTAACCCTTAGTAACACACTGCATACTCATCAAATCCATCTGACACCGCCAGAGCTCATTCACACCGATATCTTGACTCACACACTCTGCCAGCCTGCCACCCACATATTCCACAGTCCTCAATAACAACAAAATCTTCAGACATTAGAAATAGGATTTATAATCTACAAAGAAATCACTTTCTCACTCCCCATGCCTGCTCTCCCACCCCAATTCCCAGTCCTGGTACTCTTTAAGAATAACCCCAGTGATCATAGTAACGCAATAATGGAAGTCACAACAAATCTTCTAGTGTGAGGTTGGAAACACCTCAAGGAATAGTTGCAAAGTGCAAGATGTTTCTGAGGCTGCATTTCCTACCTACTTCCTCAACCATTACCGTAGGGAGCTGGTGTGTTAGTGTGGACATCGGGTGTTTTGCAAGTTGTGAGCACATTGCCCATCATGCCTCTCACAGAGCTGCCCAAGGCCAGAGCTCAGTTACTGAGGGCCTGGATATAACAGCTCAGAATGATGCCTAGACCACTGTGAGGAGGGGAGCAGTCCCACTGAATCCGTGTATTTAATCTCTCTTTCTCTCTCCATTTTAATTTTTTGGCTATGGGCTTAAGTACTGTTGCCATACTGGGGCAATGTCTTATTGCATGGCCCAGAGCAAGTGATACAGGCTTCTAGGCACAGTCCCCAAGTCTAGCTGCAATTGTATTGGAAGTTTTCTCCAAACAAAAACAATAAAACATCACCTTGGAGTGTGCCTAAGCCAATCATGACTCAGACCTGCCTAGATATTTGCATGTCTGGAAATAGATTTAAAATGTCTTACGCTTTGCCCCTCTGATGTGAGAACTAGGAGAGACTTCAGCAGCTTGGGTAACCAGTATCAAAGCTAAACCACAAACAGGAAATGAAATTTACAACAGCAACTAATTTTACTCCATCTAGAAAATGGGCATGCAACACTGGCTAACATCTGGCACTACCATTATGGATTAAATTCAAATTGGTCTTATAATGATTTACATAATTTTCTTTTACCAGAAAGTGTACTCTAATGACTTGATTACCACTTCTGAGTACAAGAATAATTTTAAATATAACATATACAATTTTATGGTTAAAAGAAAAAAATAACCAACATCTCCCATTTTCAAAACATTCAAACTCAAAAACCTATATTTTACTGTGTAGCCAAATTATAGGAAGAAGAATTTAGCCAGAAAATGGATAAGAGCCTTTGAGAATTAAATATAAGCCTTATTATGTGCTTAGTGTTTAAGTTCTTTTTGACAAAATAGATGACTATAATTGATCTATGTGTGGGAGCTCCTAGTGTCCAAAGAATAATAACCTATATCTTGTAAAAAAAAAAAACAAAAAAAAACATTTGTACATTGGGCTGTTAGAAATATTTTGCTATAGAAGTAGAAGCTAATGGCCATTACATATTAATTATTCTCAGCTCTTTAGATGGACAAGTGTAGCTAGGTGTGGTTTCCTAATGCATCTTACATGGCTTTTCTTCTAAATAAAAAATAAGTAGAGAACAAAAACAGTCACAGGTTGCTGGTTTGGGAAATAAACTTTTCTTGCCAGGCAAACAAACATCACTGTTAATGTTAAGAAACGTGGTTTGTTTTTGTTTGTTTTTTCATATAAAATGCCAAGGTAGACTCTCAGAAGTTCACCATGAGAGCTAACTCTGTACAGCCAGAGCATCTTCCTCTACTAAGGACAGTTCCAGGGTGTTTTCATTACTGCTGGTTTTCATCCTGAAGCTGAAAGAACCATAGAGTTTTGCAGACTCTCTGGAAGAGGCAAACCTGTTGCGCCGATACAGCTCCCCCTTCCACATAGACATCATTAGCAAACAGGACAGAACAACCCCCCCAAGAGTAAGCAGGCAGAGTCCGGCAATCACACACCGGTCCAGGTGCGCCCCCAGCCTTGCGCTCTCCTTCTCCAGGCGTTCCATCTCCCGGGCTGCCACGGTGTTGGGATCCACAGTCACTTCCCGTGGGACAACGTAAGAGATGATCACCAGCAAGATGCCAGTGACCAAGAACAAGATGGCACTGATGAAACCATAGTCTACAGATTTCCCTGAAGACGTGGTTTCCGAACTTGTGTCATCTTCATCGTCAGATATCAAGGATATGGCAGCCTCATGGGACCACTCATTTGGATTTCCCCAGCCAAGGTCTCCCAGGTGATGACTCCCTTTTGCTGAAGGGGAGCTCCGGTTCCTCTGCTCCAAGTTAACATTCTCATCTACATAGGTAAAAGAAGTTTCTAGTTCCTGGCTGCAGCAATCGCAGACTTTCTGTTCTGTTAGTTGGTTGTTCCCTGAGTTGAGAGGTCCTGGTGGGATGGAGTCTGGCTGAATGACACTGTCTTGCAGAGAGGAGGAGGGGGATGCTGGAGAAGGGCTAAGTTTAGAGCCTTCCCCCTCGGCTGCTCTAGGTGTCGATGTGCAGTGTCTCTGGCAGCAGAGGGCAGCTCTGATGGCTGCTGCATCTGCCTGGTCAGCGGGACACCCTCCTGGACTCCAGTCTACAGCATCACACAAAGCTGCCTGGCTGCTCTTCCTAGCAAGGTGGTGGAGCTCCATTGGAGCTACTCAACATCCCTCAGCAACTTTCAGAAATGTTTCCAATAGCAGCACAGAGAAGAACCCAACTAAGGCTGCACCACCAGGAGTTTTGCTTCCGAGGCCCCCATCTCCTTTGCAGCCAGTGTGGACACTGCAACCCCGGGTCCTCCTGAAAGGGTAAGAGAAAGAAGAGGATACTTAGCATCAAGAAAGTGTGAAAAGGCAAATCCTCTGACTTATCACAGGGATTAGCACTAGGAAACTCGGGTCAGGGTAGAAAGGAGCACGGAGGAAGTAGCAGTGTCTGTGAAGAAGGCATTGCCGTCACCAAGCCAAATTTATCCAAGGACTCACACATTTCTGTGACAGGATCCCTCAATGAGAAGGCAGGTTTCCTGTAGAGACACAAATGAGAAAGGCAGGGACCTTTTTTTAGCAGAACTGCTGATTTTCTGGAGAACCTGGGAAAGCACAGACTTCTCAACAATTCAGTTAAATTTTAAGTGTTTACAGTCTCATTCAGAACAGATTCTAATAGAGATTAGCTTTTGAGCATCACCATGGGTGAATGAATATGTCACTATAGGTTGGGCTTTATTGGAGCTGGGGCTCAGCATCTTCACTGCATAGCTCAGAAGTGGGTGAAAGATGGCAGGCTTAATTAATCAGCCACCTCTCCTAACCTTACACTGCATACATCCAATGACCCTCGTCACCCAGCCCTGTAGTTATAAGATCCTAAGTGTGTGCATTGTGCTTCCATATGCTCTGGACCTGGAAGTGTGTACACAACATGCCTCATTGTGTGATCCCTGCAAATGCTATGTATGGGCCAACCCATTCCTACACACACACACACACACACACACACACACACACACACACACACAGCTGCGTGATCCAGGTATAGGTCAGCTACTCCTGCTCACTAAGTCTGCATGAGTCCGAGTTCCTCTGCCTCTGCATGCTTTGCTAACACATGTGCACAGGATTTTGACCATCCAGAAGTTTTACTAGCCCATTCTAGAGGTAAACTGACAAAAGACAAATTATTAACCCACAGAGTCAGGGTTTTGTTGAGGCAAATAGGTGAGAAGCTATTTCCAAGGTTACCTCTGGAACTTTGTATCCACAACACTCCTTCACCCCCACCACAGCAAGGGACCTTTTTGGGAAAGAACTATTAAGTTCGGCAGAAAAACCATTGCCCATCCTTCTCTGCCCCTGTCATCTTTCTGAGGAATACCACCAAGCACAGAGGTTTCAAACAAGGGCCCCCTTTATTTTGATTCCAAGTCCAGGGCAGTAACTGATTTAACCCATGGCTTGGGGATGTATGATGATTCCAACTCCACAGCTCCAAGAGCTGGTAGTCCACACAGAAGCACAGGTAAGGCACACCTAAGGTCAGCCGCAACTCACTTAACATGTGGGGGAGGGAATCCACGTTTTCTGCTATACATTAGTTGGTTTTTTAAACCCACTTTCCTCCTATGACTGGAGTTTCTCTGCAGCTAAAACAAAACAAACAAACAAAAATACACCCAAGTACAGGAAAATCGCAACTGAGCCAGAGCTTCCCCTTAGCCGCGGGCAGATTCCTGCTGCAGGATCCCTCAGCGAACGAAGCGGTGGCAACGGGTTTGGTTACTGAAATGAGAACTCATCTCGCAGGTCCCTCAGACATCAGGCGCTCTGATTAACCTTTGGCACAATGAACTCATCGCACTGGACCACTCCGGGTAAAATCGGCGACGTCCCTTAGGGGACTCTGAATTTATAACAAAGAGGGAGAGAAATCCCCACTTGATTCCCTGGTTGTACGTCTATCTTTTCTTCAAAGAGAGACTCGGCTTGTTCCAACCGCGATCTCCTAGCTGCACCGTGGATTTCGTTTGCAGCTCTGTGATCCGGGGCTTCCATCCTCGATGGAGAACAGATAATCCCAGGGGACCAGCTGGAGGCTCTTTCCTGCCATCTCCTCCCTGTCTTCTCTCCAGTTGAAGAGCGCAGTTGCTAAGATAGCACCTCAAAGCAAGGAGACAGCACTTTTCCTTGTCCGTCTGCCATCAATTAGAAGCACGAATATCTGCACTGGAACTAACTGACACCGGCGAGGCTGGTCCGGGGAGGGCGCCTGCGGGATCCGTCCTGTGAGCGCTGTGCAGGGACCGCGCCGCTAGCACTGGGCAGCGATCCCCCCGCGGGATCCACCGATTCATTCCGGGTGAACTCCGCGCCCTCGGAGGACCCGGGCTCCGGCTGCGCCCGCTGAGTACCCTGAGGCTGGGCAGGCACCTTGGGCAGAGTGGGGACGCGCTCCCCTGCCCCGCCAGGCTCCCGGGGTCTCTCCCTCACCCCAGAGCCTCCTCCCCGCTCACTCTCCGCCACTCACCTGCCTTGGCCACCCAGGGCGGCCAGAGGACGGCGCGCTCGTGTCCGCAGGGCTCCTCGGGAAAGTCTGTGATCACCGCCCTGCACTTGTAGCCACCGCACGCCGCCGAGCTCCGAGCGGTGGGCAGCGCCCACTGAGCCGGCGGGGCGGGGCGGGGCGGGGCGGGGCGCTCCCTCTTGCTGAGCATCCCGGGAGATGTAGTCCGGCGGCGGGGGGAGTGGGGGCTCCCCGCCTCGCTCCAGTCTGTGCCTTCTCCCACCGCCGCCCTTCTGCCCTTCCCTGGACCTCCACACTCCTGCCTCGCGCTTTAGAAGAAAGCGTGGCTCCTAGCCGCAAGGTGGGGTCCCCTAGCCTCAAGTATAGCCACAGGGTTATGGGGGAAGGAGTGTACATTTAGTTCGAACTGTTGGCCAGGCAATATGCACATTTTGTCTTATTTAATAGTCAGAACAAACCTTCAAAGTACGTTTTATTCATCCTTCTACAGAGAAGAAAAGAGGCTTGGAAGAGTTAAGTGCCTCATCCAAGGTTACAAAAACAATAAATGGTAGCTAATAAACTGTACCCAGAAACCTGTTTCTAATGTCATTGCCTTGCCCACAAAATCAGGAGAAACGTGGCTGTTGAGGACAAGAGATTGTCTTGTTCTCCTTCGCATCCCCTGTACAAAATGTCTGGTATCTGTTGAATTATGAACCATAATGATGCAAAATAACAACAATGAACACAAATAGTGCATTGCCAGACTCTCCTAGTCACTTTAGAGACAGGTATTCCCCACTTTCTGAAAGTTGGCTTAATGCCACTTCAATCTGAAATCCGAAGAGGATTTTGACGATTATGAATAAAGGTGAAAAGCCGGAACAGTGGTCAGCATTTGTTAGCAGCAAGCTGTTACAGAGGCAGTACGCACTGGTAAGTGAAACAACACTACATACATTGTTTCTACTTTATGTAGGCTATGTATTTATCATATCATTCCTTTTACTATGTTGGTGTTATTTGAGGATTTATTTGGTAGTTTATTTTGGGGGTCTGGGAATGCACACTAATTTTCCCATGTGGTCATTACTTCACTTGAGGCTATTTCAGCTTAGAAAAGGTTTCATGTGAGCACTCTACTATTGGATAGCAGAGGTGGGCATGGGGGTGTGTGTGGCTGTACATTAACTCATTTAATGCTCACAATCAATTCTTAAAGTCCTATAAAAATCCTGTTTCACAGAAGAGAAAACTGAGTTATAAGGAATCTGAATAATTTGCCAAAAGTCATACAAGCTAGTACTCAGCGCAGGTGGGGTATGAACCACACAAGCTTCTAAGCCTTATGCAAACTGAATGAAGAGAGGGAGACCAGAAGGCAAGAAGAGAAAGGGTTAGAAACAAAGAAGTACTTTCAATAATTTTTTAAAAAGGCAATCTGGAGGTTGAAGCTACTGAGTTGTGACTCCTAGGATAGGACAAAGGGACTTCTTCAGGTCATCAACCTCTTTCTAATCAGAGTGGACTACAGCAGCCAAAGGAAATGTGTGGTTTGTGGATCATCTCCAAGTGTGCAGCATCTCCTTTGGGGTGATTCTAGGGTTATTGATTGCTTTCATCCAAGGGGAGCTAAAGAAGGGTTATAATATTTATAACATTTTGCTGTTTGTGAGTGGCTCATATAAATTCTGTGGCTGCTTGCTTTCAAGTGATACATCAGTCTTCTACAATGATGATTTTGTTGGTGGTGTTTTATATTAATAGAATCCATAGTCTCATAGTTCCAGGGACTTCACAATCCAGCCCCTTAAAACTATTTTTCCTCCCTGTGACTCTCTTTTAGCAAGTTAGGTCCATTTATTGATAAACGTGTGTATTATAGTTTCTTCTCCTTTGCTCAATACCTTGTTCTGCAGTGAGAATATCCTCTCTCATTCCCTGTTCTCTCTACCATTCAAGGACTATCTCATCAAGCTATATTTACAGTCTGTTCTTAGTAATATATATTTAAAAGGGAACACAAAGACACCATAGAGTGTCTAGAATAAAGCAAATAAGAAGTTAAAGAAACCTGAACTCACATTGGACAAGGAGATGCTGAAACAACTTGGGATATTTAACCAGAGGAGCAGACTTAGAAGAAACAAAAACTAGCTTTAAATAATTTGAAGTTTGTAAAATAGAAGAGAAATTCTGTACCATGATTAAAAAGGGTAAAAGCAGAACCAATGACAATGATAGTATTTTATTTGTCCTGATTGTCATCATCTTTCTTATACCAACTTTATAAGGGATCCAATATTACTGTACCCATTTTACAGTGTAAAAATTGAGGATTAAATGCCATCATTGCTTTCCCAAAGTGTAAGAACTAATAACTTACAGAACCAAGATTCTAACTTGGGTCTGTTTGATTCCAGAACCTGGATCTCTTCACTACGACACTGAACAGAGCAATACTTCACAATCCTTTGCACAGCAAAGCATATTTAAGAAGTGATAATATTTATTGCACTGGGATAAACACAGGAGGTTTCTCATGATGCCGTGGCTACTTTAGGCCTGGAAGAACAGCTTGGAGGGCAAGGGAATAAATAAGCCAGCAAATCTGTGATGCACTGGAGTCCCTGAGGATGATCAA